TGTAGGGGGCTCTGTGTAGAGGCTTTCTCCTTCCTAACTTGGCTGCCTGTCACACACACATGCTACTGTACATACACACACACATATACTACTCTACATACACACACACACATATACTACTGTACAGACACACACTCCTGCACACACACACACACACACACACACACACACACACACACATATATACAGGGTACAGACAGGTCATATTATTTGGAGTACATTCAGTCATGTCTAGAGTGCTAATGGAATATAAATATGTACTTAAGTGTATATAAACTAGATCAACATTTAAGACAGCATAGTATACGTATGAATCTGCTGCATAACTAAATCACCTGCTTAAAATCAAGTATAGAAATCCAGTACAGACCTTGTCTAGTCTGCTACAGAGCAACATTGTAGCAAGGTTTGTCGGCAAATGTAAGTATTTTTTCTGAACAAATTGCTGAAAATGGGGGTGTACTGGGTAATGTTTTGCTTATTCAACGGTCAACCCTGATTTTGACTGTAGTGGTATCTGCCAAAGGTTTTATTTGTTGCATATCTGGGAAGATCATGCTGATAAATTGCTGCACTTAAATTTCCTTACTCCTATACAGAGAGAGGGGAGTAAATGAAGGCTACTGTTACACATTTACAATGATATTATCACATCAATGTTTGTACAATCTTCACCACGGGTCATGGAAAAGCATCAGATTCAGACATACTTTTGTAACTGTTCTTCAATTTGCTTATTCTAATGTGCTGATTGATGTAAACATAATTCATGGACCATCAAGTGATCATTAGTTACTAGGTTTTATGATCACTATATATCATCTCCTTGCATGACATGTATGTCTGCATGATATGTATGTATGTCTGCATGTAAGTCATTGAAGTAGGCAAGTGAAAAAATACAATGAAACAGGCCTAGCCTATATATCTTAGTTTTCTTACAATAGTACTTGTACCATAGGAGCAACAGAGTCAACATACTAGACTAGTTTGTATTTAAACCAGCCAGGGTCACTGTAAGCCAGGAAGTTTTTTTGTTTGTTCTTTTGCACAAGAATTGACAGTACTGGTATCTTAAGTAATTATGTTTGTTCAGGTTGATTTTGATGCTAGGTTTATGTTTAACTCTAAGTACAAGAAGCTTGAAGCTGGTGCATGATTTGACATTCTTCCCTCTTCCTGTCACAGGTGCCAGACGTCAACATACAGCTGAACTGTGGATACCAGAAAGCAGACCACACTGGGCCACCTCAAAGTCCTGGCTACCTACATGTAGGAACTGAGCTTTGAGAAAACAATGGCAATAAAAATTTGTGGAAACAAATGCAATTTAAAGTACTGTCACAGGTGTGAATTATTGTCTTATGACTACTGTATGTGATCGCATATTATTTCCCAAGAACTACTGATACTTGTAACCTTAAGCCAGCATTTTCATTGTCAGTTTTTGTATGAATATGAGCAGATTAAGAAGTTCTTCAGTAATTCATACGTACATGTGTTGAGCGTGCCTTCTCATAGTTATTGTTATTATATTCAATCATAGAAACACGTTTCGTTCCACCGAGATAGATAACATAACTACAAAAATTATATAACATTCTGAATTAAGATGAACTAGTGTTTATTCCATCCATAATTGATAACGGTAGCTATTTGTGCAAACTTCTCTGATTGAAAAGTGCCTCAGGTTCATGAGTTTTCTCGGAGAACACTACATTCCCTACTGCATGCATGTTTTGTGGACTCAATGTGTGGCTTGTGCCACAGGAAGTTGCCCTTCTGTACGTCACTGACCCCTACGCTGTGAAAAAATCTGGTGAGAACCCTGTATTCTACTTGGTCTCCATTAAACATATGGAAAAACCATATGAAACAATAGGATTGAGGAGAATGGTGAACATTGTAACAATGCTTTGAACATGCATGTACTTGTACCAATGAGGGAAATTTTACTGCATTACATGTGTACATGAAGGATTTCAAAGCTTGAATTGAAAAATCACTTTGCAGTTTATTCCCCTAATGTGAAAAAAATTGATTGAAAATCACTTGTAGCCCAGGTGCTGAGTGGTCATTGTGTGAATTATGTTTGTATCAGATTAACCATTCAGTGAAGAAGTTCCTGATCTTGTTTGTGATTGTTTAGGAATGGCCACATTGCAGGAACAAAGTTGAGCTACAGTAGAATCAGTCAAGTCAGGTTTAAGTCAAAGTAGTTTGGAGTATTTGTTCAGTCTTATGACTCCAGTACATGATGATGACCCTGTGGATTATTGATATGTGTAGCATTACGAGAAAGGTAGCTGAAAACACTGGTTTCACTGTCATGTGTGTCAATAAAATCACACAAATCTTGCTTTTCAGATGTTGTGTTGAGTGTGTATTTTCCTAGTTATAATATGATATAAAATGAGAAACGTTGTATATGAACACAAAAGATCATTTCATGAATTACAGATGAACTAGAGTTTATTCACAATAGATAATAGTAGTTATTTGTATAAGTTTCCCTGAGGCAAAAGAGGGTTTGTTACACTGACTGAACAAGGTATTGACTTTAAGTAGAAGCTGAAACCTTTCCATAAAGTCTCTTATCATTGGTTCACGCCTATCAGCATTCATTTTAGTGCAAATTTATCATCTCTGAAAGTCAACAAAATAACAGGGTATTATCCTGTACACCCAAAAGTCTTACGAACTCGTGTAACACTTAAATAACGGTAAGCGTAGTCAATATAGGCAACTGAGGGGTTGATGAGCTATAATGATTTCACAAATTACACGTTTGTCTTCTCTCACCGAAATATGACGTAGATCTGTGATATTCCATGATTTTAGCATATCGATTCAGTTACATGTACATGTTCATGTGTAATCATTAATAGATATATCATCCAAATTCAGAACGAATAATCCAATTAAATGCTTGGCGAGATAAAGAGTATCACCTAATAGTATGTGCTCTGTGCGACCTTGAGCGTTCACGCGAGGAGGCGTCCAAAATACAGACGATTGAGATAATTTGCACCGCATGTAAGCGTTTTTCTTTGTCAAACGAATATCTCACGTCGTATGTAATTTTATAGATTTATACAAGACAAGGCTAATATACTTATCTAGCTGTCCAGTTATAGATAGGCTTTTCTTTTATATTCCTTGTGAAGATACAAGGTATACACGGCATGCGAAGTTGTTAGAGAAGTAAGATTTAATCTCTAGATGGTTAAATGATAGTAACTCCACAATGAATTATTGTTTCGATATAAGAATTTGGCTATCGGCTATCAAAGCATTTACAAATCAGTCCCCAGAATTTGAAAGAAATCCGTGTAGTTCTAAGCGCGCTATGACCGCCGAGATGTTGCGGTTTCCTTGTGGCAAGAAGACGTCCTCCCAACATTACAATTCTAGGACCGCGTCGCACCACCTTGGTCGCACAGAAGTGCGCTTTCATTCATAAAACGAGTAGGGTCTTGTATATCGGGACAGAACTATCACAATACCAGGCTGATGTGCTGATCTAGCTGTGCTGTCAATAAAACTGCTAATTATGCCTTGTGAAAATACAATCTTCAATTGAGATGACATGTGAACTGTGATATATGAAGTAGTTATGGAAGTTAATCTCCAAAAGCTTTAAAGATAGTTAACTCAAAAATAAATTGTGATATCGGCATGGAATTTTGGGCATGGGGTGGGAACGCATTTGAAAATTAGTCATTCAAATTTGAAAGAAATGCGTTGAAGTCTTAGCGAAATATAACTCCCAGACCTCTTGGCAAGGAGGCGTCGTCCCAACATTGCGTTCCTCATAGACGATTTTACGATCGCATCTCACAGAAGTGCGTTTCCCTTCATAAATTGATAAGGATTTTGTATATCCGGTTTAAACTTGCACAATACCAGGCTGATATACTGACCTGGCTGTGGTGTTAATAAATTTGCTCTACCTTCATCTTTTGTGAGAATATAGACCATTCACCTGTCTCTAGTTCTAGGGGCGCGAAGTAGTAAAACGCGTTCCTACCAAGAATTATTTAGAGCCAAATAGATCACGTTACAATCAACACAGGTACACCATATTTTAGACACGGATAGCCTACGATACTATATAACATTGAACAAAGTAACTTTGACCGTAACCCAAACCGTTCGTTAGAAATTAGACAAAAACCCGTTACAAGTCCCCCATGCGATTTTGGTTCAAAGTGCAGCAAATAAATATTGGGGGAATACAGGACAATTCCGCAACAAAATTGACTGATAATCACGTACGACACCCATTATTGGCTAATCTTACCATTCCTTCACAATTCCATCTTTTATTTTAGTTGTAACACATTAAAGATAAATCTAGATATCCTGGCGAGATGCAGAGGAACTGCAGCAAAATAATATTTTTTTTCAAGAGATTGCGCAGGGGGGGCTCCCTTATCAATATTTCTCACCAAAACATACATATCTGACCTTTGCATATCACAGCGAACCCAACAATACCACTTTTTACAAAATAGCTCTGCGTTGAAAATTTTTCATCATTAGCATATAAATCCCTTTTCTGTCCAGGTCCAGCCCCCCCCCCATCAATATTTCTCAATGAAACATGCATATTTACACTTGGTGTATCGCAAGGAACCCAACAATACCAATTTTTACAAAATAGCTCTACGTTGAAAATTTGTCGTCATTAGCATAAAAATCCCTTTTCTGTCCAGGGGACCCCCATATCAATATTGCTCAATGAAATTTACATATTTGAACTTGGCGTATCGCAAAGAACCCCACAATACCAATTTTTACGAAATAGCTCCGCGTTGAAAATTTGTCGTCATTAGCATAAAAATCCCTTTTCTGTCCAGGGGGCCCCCCATATCAATATTGCTCAATGAAATTTACATATTTGAACTTGGCGTATCGCAAAGAACCCCACAATACCAATTTTTACGAAATAGCTCCGCGTTGAAAATTTGTCGTCATTAGCATAAAAATCCCTTTTCTGTCCAGGGGGCCCCCCCATATCAATGTTTCTCAACGAAATCTACATATTTACACTTACTTGGCATATCGCAACGGACCCAACAATACCAATTTTTAAAAAATAGCTCCGTGTTGAAAATTTTTCATCATTAGCATAAAAATCCCTTTAATACTGCTTCTTTATGCACCACAGCTACCCCCCTCCCTTCAATAAATGCCTAGGCCAGCAATAAGTCCATTGTTTCCTCCCTGAGCCTATTCAGGCTTTTTCATTAAATTTCTATAATTACAATATTCTAAAAAGCCTATTACCTATACATGTACATCAATATTCAAGACAAAAAGTACTGGAATAATTGCATACAAAGCTTGATATGTCAATTTGCTTGATGATTAGGGATATTCATTGAGATGAAGCTGAGGAACAATCATGAAGATAAAAGTGTGTGACACAAAGACATCATAAGTACATTTTTGGCAAAGGAGGTTTGTTTAATGTTTATAAATTGACTGATAAAATGATACCTGCACAGCCACACTCATTATGTATTTTGCTATTTCATTGTTTGATATATTGCAAACAGTGTGTACAAAATTGCAATAAAGTTCATGGTACCTTCTGTGCAAGGATATGATACTTGAACTAATGAAAACTGCTGCCGTTTATATTTAGTCATAAAAGATAACACAGGCCTTCAGAAAGGTTTGCCTTCAGAAAGGTTTGCCTTCAGAAAGGTTAATGTACAAGTCAAGGTTAATTATCAAAGTATACAAGAATACCTTTTATACAAATTACACATCATTTGTGGTATGCTAGGTAAACAGTACATGTGTATTGTATATACAATATACCATCAACATTACCAGAAAGTGGTCAGGTCATTTTACCTAAAAATCAGCTGACATGCCTACATATGTCAAATGTGTTATCTTATCAACACTTTTTTTAAAACTAAATAAATTAGCCTTCTTTCCAGTTGGGCAAGATAGCTGACTAGTTACAGTGGTGCCTGCTATCCTCTGTTCTCACTGCCCTGAGAGCAAGTCTTGTGCAGAAATCTTGTTGAAGCAGGCTTAAGTGCTTGATGACTTTGTTCTTTTCTCATAAATCTGCTTTCTTATTTGGCACACAGCTTCATTTTCAATGCTTTCCTCAAAGGCGAAGTCCTCCCAGTACTCCTCCATGGCCCTGGAGAAAAATAGAATGTACATGTCTATTTACAGTTGCTAAGAATTAGCAACAAAATTCACAACAAGTGTGAAGAATTAGCAAACTAGTATACTAGTATTCTAATTTTTACATAATTTAAGGCATTTGATAATCAAGAAAACTTGAGTATACTAGTATTCTAATTTTTAGATAATGAATCATTATACAAAATAAGTGATTTACCACTAGAATGACAGTTTGCTACCAGGCTACATGTATAACTTATAGATTATTTGCCAAACCTGTTTATGTAACAGTAATTACAGCTACCAGCACTGTACCTGTATGTCTGCCCTCCCCCTTCGCCCTTCACATGACAGGCAGAATGTTATTCAAAGTGCATATTGTGAAAATTTCATAGTGTATTCAAAATATTCGGGCCCAATTGAATCTAATCTGAATGTGATCAGAGCTGTTTTCAATGCTGTTGGAATGCAGTACAGGTAAGAATCTCAATGCCACCTGTTTGAGAACTGTTTGTGTTTCTGGATATTTTTACATTTATGCTTATTCTTACATGTATGCCCAGCCTGACT